GGACTCGTTATAAGTGGACTCCACTGTATTTAGAAAAGATTCTGAGGAAAACCCCTATTTCTTGTCATAGAGTGACAAGAGTGGTAGACAAGTCTGTGTTTACAGTTCTATAGGGGTGACCATTTTGAAGCTTTGACTTTGCTTGCTTTTATTCATTATTATTGTGACAGTGTCAAGCTAGAACAAAAAGTGTTCGAAAAAGAGTAATTTTTTTTCAATAAATTGCAAATTATACAAGTAAGTATATTTTTGTGTATATTTAGAAACTAACTTGTGTAAATGAAGAGGGTCTAAAACTGATGTGGTCTTTGCAGTGTCTCTTTGTTAGACTTTTCTGAAAGTACAGACATGCTAGATAGTGAGGGGCACAGGAGATTTCTCTATCCTTTGATTATGATGAGTCATATTTTTAAAAACTTTTTCTATCTGCAGGCAATGCGTGTGGTGAGTGATAGACAGAACAGAGAGGCGAAAGCAAAACATGAAAAAGAAAAGGAGCTTTCAAAAGTGAAGATCAACAAAGATGATGTTGACCTCATAGTAAGTATTTGTTTACCCTATTGATTGACCGTGTATGCTGTCGAACATCTTTAGACTTCTCACCATTATGACATGACGAAAGCCTTGTCTGCCAGCTACATTTCACCCATGAAATCGGGACTTTAAAAATGCATTGAGGATAAAGACAGTTTGTCCCTGACAGGCAGGGTTGGAAGCCTGCCTCCTATATGATCTAAATTGTGTTGATGGGGGCGTAAAGACATACAATTTTTAAAGAATTTGGTGCATTACGCAGATTTGCGCCTCCTCAGGTCTCGCTATGTGTGTGCCAGACCATACGTATACATTCCAACCTCTTTATACCCCCTCCGCAAAATGTCTGATGTCACCACATAGCCTGATAACCAAAAGGCTAGCGTATGCCCGTGAGGCTTTTATATTGTGAGGACTGTGGGGCGGCCCTAGGACTAACAAGTAGGCTATCAGATTAAAGGTAAACTCTGTACATCCACATGGTTCCTAGCTTCTGTTCCGGTAGAAAATTTCAGTTTTATTTTACGCAAAGTGAAGTACAGCTGGAGCTGTACATGTAATTGGTTGCTACTCATTTTTTCCCTCGCCCATGGCAATCATACAACACAGATCTAGAAGAGGGGAGACTTGCTATAGTTTGTTTCGTCTGTCTACCAGTCTACTACTAGTCAAGATGGCTATCAATGCCATCCTGTTAAACCTAAACCGCCAACCTTGCTGTACCGCCAACTTAATGCTCGTCCCAAGGTAGGCGGTATAACGTGGTTTGACTCTGTATATATATCTATTTGAGAAAGAAAGGCGATCATGGTGTTTATTATTCAATACTAAAAATATGTAGGTCACAATAAAAATGAACTCACTGTCACTATAAAATCTACTGGAATGGCTTTGAACTAATAATTACATTCTCTCTGTCTCTCTCTCTGTTTGTCTGTCTGTCTGTCTGTCTGTCTGTCTGTCTGTCTGTCTGTCTGTCTCTCTCTCTGTCTCTCTGTCTCTCTGTCTCTCTGTCTCTCTCTCTCTCTCTCTCTCTCTCTCACTCTCTCTCTCTTTCTCTCTTTCTCTGTTGCAATTTCTTCACGTGTCATTGTCAGGCATGCATATACCAGAAAATAATTATATTATGGCAGGTATGCTTTTATTGCCATTTAGAGTTTGCGGTTTGCACTGCAATAAATTTTTTTTTTGCTCTATGACAGGGCCAACAATTTGTTAAAACCTTAGTTAGTACAACTAGGGAGGATGCGGGAGAGGTACCTTGAGAAAGGTAGAGAAAACTCAAAATCGTGGATAGGTCATACAATTTGCCAATCCCCAACTGAACTGCTGTATTTTCCATCCATTCTTCCATTGGTAACACTGTTTTCTCAAACACCCATACACGGATATATGTTAATCAGCTCATATTGAAAAATGAAAAAAAAACAACCCCAAAGCAAATCCTGCCCACCCCCCCCCCCCCCCCCCCCCCCCTGTCTTGAATTTGTATGTATGATGTGTGTTTCTTCTAGTGCATGTGATTTTTTTATCTTGGAGGTAAGGATTGGGAAGTGGTTACACAAGAGAGATGGTTGCATTGCCTTGATGTGATCTGATATAAGAGCATTTTTGTTTTGAAGATCAAATGAAAACGTAAGGTTCATTAGCTTCTCTCTATTCTTTTCTCTTGCTTTGACACTTAACTAGGAGCATTTGTTATTCATCCTTTTTTTCTTTTATTAATGCCAAGTACTTTTCTTCCACCCACCAGGACAGTGTTACTGACTCAAGTGTCTTACTTTAGGCCATTCCCAAAGGGGGATATTTTTACATGTTCTTATGCACAGTCGAATTGTAAATAGGCTGATTTATCAATGTCATGCTCATACTGTGCCGGAACAACATAGCGAGAACTGTTACTTTTTCTTTCCTCACCTTTACTTTCATCATTTTTCCTCTACTTCTTTTGTATGTTTCAAAATGTGAACTACTATTTCCGGGGTACCTTGATAGTCCAAGCAGACTTGAGAGGTGAGCAGAGTAAGCCTGATTCCCCTTTTGGACTTCTCTGTTAACTTTCACCCCTTGGCACTCATATGACATTATGTGGTTGCGAGTGCTACAAAACCTTACTAAAACTTTTCATGTTCGTAGTGTGTTATCTTCCGAATGTTGTATTGTCACAGTTACTTTCCTTGATCTTCTTCTCTTATTTCTCTTTATCGCAGTTTTCTCGTGTTATGTCAAACATATTTGTCAATCTCCGTGTTCAACATATACATGTTGAACTATGTATACACACACAAAAGTGTATGTGTTTATCTTTTATTACAAATTCATATATTTAATTTCAGAATTTGTTTTTCCCTTGACAGGTTCATGAAATGGAAATCCCAAGGACAAAAGCAGAGAGGGTGTTACGAGAGTACAAAGGAAACATCGTAGAAGCTCTAGTGTTTTTAACCAACTGAACAATTTTGTTGCTGCTGAGGTGAAAGAAATTTATTGGCGTTGTCATGAAAAGGGTATCATGGATCTAAAAAAAGGACATAAGGTGTTAGTGAATGTGGACATAATAAATTCACTGTTTACACTTGAAGTACTTTCTTACAAATGCGTTTTCTTTTCTTTGCTTTTTTTACTTGTTGTTTTGTGAGTTCAAGCTCTTCGGGGTGATATTGGCCAACCAGCTGCGCCATAGCAGACAATTGTTGTCCTCCTGTGATTAGTGTGATAGTTGTCAGACAATAATTTTTTATGTTAGTGAATGGCATTATGCTGTAACCCTTAACCGGTTTCTTGAATATTTTTCAACTGATAGAGAAAAAAACCCGAAATATGCTGTCGACCGAAACTTTTTTTTGTTACAGAATATTTCAAACCTGTTTATAATCAACAAGCTATCTCTGGCTATCTCTTTGTCCATTTCTCTAGCTAATTCATCTATGCTTTGCCAGAAAATGCAAAAAAAAAAGTAGTGACTATTTAAAGTATGCCACTAAATCAAGGTCACCTTTTGACCTGGGCTCATGTACGTTCTAAACTGCCGGTTCGGAATGGAAAGGCAAACCTGGCGGCAGAACCGCGGATGTGGATGAAAAACTGCTAGTAAAAAGTTAAACCGGGAGGCTGAACCGGCGGTTTCAACATGTTTGGATTTTCTGACTATAGTTCAGCAGGTCCCGTCGACGACAGCCTTTGTGTGACGTCACACGCTTAGCCGGCTTATCTTGTTACTGCCAGTATTTTCAAAATGATTTACAGGACATAAAATCCGATTACATGTACATTTTTTCAACCAGAGACCCAATTTTAAGGCAAGATTCAAGCAGAATTTGTGTTTTTTCAAATAATTAAAGAGATTTTAAAAATTCCCAAATAATAACGCATATACTGAAGGGGTTCAGTACACTCCGCCATTTTAAAATTTGACTTGAGCTGCGGTAAAACCACACATGCAGTGCCAGACCGAGGTTACGCCAAGTCACTGATTGGAAAATTTGCATAATCATCAAGTATCAAGTGTTATTAATGGAGCCCACTGTATTCTTAAGTGTGGTTGTGGGCAAAAACATTTACAATCTACCTCAGACTTGTAGGAAAGAGGAAACTGAAATTTCTTGAAGAATCCTATTTAGCAAAAAAAAAACAAAAAAAAATAATTTCCACACCAAATTTGGAGAATCATAAATCCTTTTTGTAAGATTTTTAAAATTAGCTTCAAATCACCTAATGATAAATCAACTGCTCGCATTCCAGTGTTGAGTGTTGTGACATTGAAAAGAAATCACACCTCTGATCACTTTTGCGACTTCAACATTGAAATTGAAGCCAATCATGCAAAGTACCGTATGTGAAATGCTCAAAGTACTGTACACGAGAAGAAAAAAAGTATTTGAAGGTCAAATCACAAAGAAATAAAGTATTAAGACATTTTCTTTTTCATTTATGCTTTTATTTACAAAGACAGTCAACAGTGTCAAATTACATGGCAGGATACACTAAAACAAGAAGTCGAAGCAGAAAGTGCTGGGCCACATTTGCCAAAAATACGTAGAAAGTTTGGCAATCAAATATCCAAAGCATCACAGTTCACCATTTTTAAATACTTACAAGGATATTTTTCTTACTCTTAACACAAGATTTACTTCTGAAAAAAAGAAAGGAGCTCATTCCATTTTTATGACGCAATTGCAGAAGGTAACAATTGAGTTTTCTAAAAAATGTAAGAGAAGAACAGTCTCAAAGCATAAAAATACATCACATCATAATTAACAACGACCTTCCATTCACTTCATTACACTGTAATGTATTTGGTACCATTTTTTTGTACCTCACTTCAGTATCCATTCATTTACAAGCACAGGCACAAATTAAATAAAATGTGCACTCCAAACAGTAAACTGAAATCAAGAAACAAACAATAAGGTGCATGCTACTGCTCATATCTTCAGAAAGATACTGACTATTTATTGTATACATAAAAACTTGCTACTTTCAAGTTGTACTTCAGCATCATCGTCAACATTCGTTTCGGAGTTCGGAGTGATCAAAATAGACCTCCTCAGCTCATGCAACAGCTGAGTTGGAATCACATAAAAAGCTCTACCAATTTAAAAAAGAAGACATTACACAGAACAGCTTTTGAGCTACAGACCTGAAAAATATGTTTGCGTTGGGTGCTCATTTGGAAGTTTTTAAAAAATAACTTGTAAGGCCACATGTACATCAAAGCAGAAATGACCTTATTTTTGCATGGAGGAGGCAAAATTTAGTGTTTGTTTCCGGTATGCATGAGCAAGTGAAAAGTAAAGAAAAGCAAGGCGGGAATAACAATAAATGAACAGTCCCCCTCCCCTCCACACAAAAAAGAATAAATAAAATTGTTAATATTGCATTTGAAAAGGTGGTTACTTTGTAAATTTACTGATTTTTAGGTCCTGATGACATTAGATTTTTCATCAGAACTTAAAATTATATTATATTGTAGACTTGACAATCTTTTTAGCTCTGGCTGGGCCTGTGGCTGATGAGTCGGCACACGGTCCGCCTAAAAGGTCGCCTACAATGTGGCATTCCAACTAACCGGACTTTAGCTGGGAGGAGTCAGATCATTTTGGTGGACACAGCAAAACTAAAATGTCACCGATTTTGAACCTGTCAGGCCGGTAAACCAGCCAGGGCAATATTTTGCTGTATACCGTAAGGCCGGTTCACCTGGGCACGGACTATTTTCAGTTGTTTAGTCCGTCAAAAGTACTCTCTTTATTTCTTGTTCATCGTCTTACAATATTTCCACCTTCCAAATAAGGTAAACAAGGAAGTGAACAGATGTGTATTTCTCCATGTTCTTCCCCTCCGTCACAGTGAACTTTGATGAAATTTGCGAAAATGTCCAGGGATAGAGATTTGGGAAATTTCATGATTTAGGGTTCAGAGAGCTAAGAAAAAATACGGTGCTCTTCTTCAGCTACTAAATTTTTGAGAGACAGACGACTTATGGGGGTTTTTTTTGTTTGTTTGGTGGGCTTGGTAGACTCTGCTTAGCGAGGCCTGTGTACCCTGCATGCTGCCATGCCCAAGCCTACTTAATAATACTACGGTCTAACATGCACATAGCAAAGATTTTAGGGTAAGAGTTTTTTTCTTATTCTTTGTATTCAAAACATACAGGCAAGGCGACATGTGGGATGCCTGCCTGGTCAGTGTCCATGTAGCAGCTCCTTTTGAAAAACAGAAGAAAACCACACAAACACTGTAATTTCTCCAGTTCTACAAATCTGCCAGCATTCGATGCTCGTATGTAGTATTAGTAGGTTTGGCCTTTCATCAGGTTGGTTCCAAGTTTCATTCATTTTTGTCCCCCAGTTGTTCTGTAACTTTACTTAGAAGAGAGCTACCTGTGATCCCGAACGGCCAAAAAATTACCTCTTGCGCAGAGCCAGATTCCCGGCCGAAAGCGCATTGGGCGATTGGAATTGCTACATTTAGTGCTGACGTCCATACAAAACTATCTGTCTCATATATTGCTGGACCTTGTTTTTACCGAAACCTCAGACTCTGCGAAATCGAATGCTCTACCAGATGAACTCATTGGGAATGAGGCAAATCTATTGGTTTATATTCTCAGGAAAAATGTTCATCCAAACAGTGAGTATTTCTTGTCTTCCTTCAGCACAACAAAAGAGATAGCCATATAGTCATGCAGCATATGTTTGTAACAAACGGACACCTCTACTTAGATGCAAAAAGAGGTATTTTCTGTCTGATAAATCAAAATGAGAGGGAGAATTCAAAGAAAGCAATCTCCCTTTTCCTTCCCCAATTGATGATAAGCTTACAAGACGTGATACTGTACCCTCTTTGGTCATTTTGTGGAAATAATTATAATTATGAAAACTTTGTGTGCTATTACATAAGAAAGAAACTCGAAATAAAAGGGCTGGACTGTACATTGTTGAAATCCTGAACTTTATGAATGTATCATTTTATATTATAACCAAACAAATGGTCAACTGCAGAGAGTAAAGAAAAAAGAAAAATCAAGTCAGGGCAGCAAAAAAAAAATCATTTGCAGAAAATATTTACAAAAAATCTTTGAAGTATCATCTCTGGCACCTTTGAGAGTAGAGGATGCTGAAAAGTCACCAACAGAGCATAAAAAGTCTTCCTCTGTCTTAAGGAGAGGAAAAAGTTTCAGCTATCCCAACAGAGCAGGGGAACGATAAATATTCAAAACATTGCCCCAGTACGCAAGATTTTTATAGATAATATATATCTAATTTTCACACCCTTGTATGCAAAATAAAAAGTAAACAAGCACTTGCCTTAGAATACTAGACAATTATTATTCTTCTCCCTAGATTGCATAACATTAAAATGAAAAATCTTCGAAGTTGGTTGTAGTGTCAAAGCCTGGTTTTACGTACACAAATGCTCAAACTGAGACGACAAATTTTCAGGAAGCAGGAGTAAAAGGCATCAGTGACAAAATGACTGGAGCTGATTGACCACTTCTGAGTCCACACTGGCCATCAGCTGATCAAAGACTTGCTGTCCATGGTTTTGGCGACACGTGTTGAGTTGCGACATGACATAAGACTGGAGGCAGATTGTGTGGACCGGGTCTTGTCTTGACAGCTGCATGAGGACAAAAGAAAACCAGGAATTTTATAAATTTTTTACGTCAAACAATGCCACTAAACTTTCCATTTGCCTTTTGAGGGATAGGAAAGAAGCTCGCCAAAAGTGACACTCCATTAAAAATGAATTAAAACCCCATTTAAATCAGGCAAATAAAAAAATTACAAGCTTATAATTATAATAGCCTACTTGCGAGTCCACAAAAAACATTTAGGATTTTCTGCAATATGCTCTCGATTATTTCTGGTCAAAAGAATTAATCATAATGTCTGGGTACAACTTTCCCTACTCTCAGGTATTAACATTTTAAATGGTGGTGGTAATAGTACCCATGCCAGCCGAGCACCAAACTCTTATTTTCTACTGGGACCAAGTGGTAAATCAAAATCTACAAGCATCATTGTTAGTTCGCACATTCTCCGGATCACCAGCATTTGAGTAAAGTGGAAAAGTACATTGAAACAATAACTGTCATTTAATAATTTTAATTTAAAGCAGGTCAAAATGACAGACAGACAGAAAAACAAGGAAAAAAATGAACCCATCGGGGGCCTCCTCCAACCTAGAGAATCATGAAACCTGACGGTTCATCCTAGAAACATCTAAATTTAAGAGCCTGCTTTTTTTGTTTTAGTAGAGGTATTACAGTACTCGCAACTGTATAATAAGGGTATATGAATGCCAAGGGGTGGAGGTCAACAGAGAAGTCCTTACAGGGAATCAGTCTTACTCTGCTCATCTCTCTAGCCTCAACAGCACAAAGTCTGCGTCGACTATCAAGGCACCCTGGAAATAGCGGGTCACAATAGTGTGACAAACATACAAAAGAAGTAGAGGAAAATGACAATAGTAAGGATTAGGAAAGAAAAGACAGCAGTTCCCTGTTGCAGTTCAAGCACAGTTATGAGCATGACATCGATGAATCAGCCCATTTACAATTCTACTGTGCATAAGAAATGGTTAACTCACTGACAACGGATCCCTTCATGGGTACGGGGCGGTCAGTCGGTTCGTAGGTACGGATCCTGTACCCCCGACGGGATGGACTTTGCGGTTTTGTTCCGTATCTTGTGCTCCCGTCACATGAACGGGAACGGACTCCAGTGCTAGTTTTGCCTCATGTTTCGCAGAAGTTTCGTGGTATTTTTTTAAGCAATTGAAGGTGAAGGACAGTCACCTCATCTGCGGTTGACCTGACCGGAACTTGCGCTATGTTTTTTCTATACAAATGATAGTAATCCGACAGTCGCGTCGAAGTAGCGGTCGCATGAACAAGAATCACTGTTTTCGATATTTCTGTACGTTTTGCTAGTTCTAGTGACTCAGGATATGATGTGTCTGATAGTTAGGACCCTGGATATGTACCCGAACACGGCCCGAGTCATAGTTTTAGGGCTAGATCTGGCACTAGTACTGGTGTTGTTGTTCGTGCGACGAAATCACAACTTCGTTCCCTACATCTGTCTCACGTAATTCAGGGTATGGGTCTGAATAAACGCACAGACCAGCTTTTATATTTTCACCAAACACTCACACATGGATACAAATCAAAACAGAACACTTTGAACTTTTATCTTTGTAGTTGTTGTGAATTTCATTCAATCTGTCATGTCTGTGGAAATTTTTTGAAAAATAAAATTCGTACCAATTTTGAAACAATCATTAAAATTAAAGTATTAGACCTAGAGAACTTAAATTTTTCGCAATAGATTAAGTTTGAAAGTTACTTTACTGTGTCAAAAAATAATTACACTAGGGTAATTCTGAGAGTTGTGGTGGTGTCTTGAACACGACATCACTTTTCGCCCGATTCTGTTACTTTTAGTTAGCGTGACTCAGGAGCCCCGGAGCTCCCTGGCTCGGGGTCACGGGGTTAATGAGCCCTGAAGCGACTTTGCCGGTGTCGGTTAGGAAGTTCGCATTTTTTACTATGTTTAAAACGATATAACTTCTTCCCCATCCCACATAGCAAACCATTACGCGGATGTACTAAACGCTCAATGTCTTGAGATTTATTCTGCATTAGAATGGTTAATATCTGTGCCTTGGTTTTTGTTCAAGACAAGTGTTTGTAGAGTATCCAATTTGTCCTATTTTAGCTACAAACTTATGAATAAATGATTGTTAATTAAAAAAAGGCACGACATATCTCTCCAAAATCTGTGTTAAACTGACTACGAATATCATGTCTTTTACCATGAGAAATCTTAAATCTGCGCGAGTAGAAATAGTCAAGTTATAATAGAAGAAAGATGCACATCTGCATTTTTTAACTAAAGACGATCAGCGTTAGCTCTTATTTTACTATTAAACAAGAGAAAGTTACTTTGCTTTGTTCATGAATCATGCTGTGTCTGTGGCAGCCTGCATACAACTAAAAATAAAAAGATATAATATAGAATCTAAGCGATTAAAAAACCCACAAAACCGTGTAAATAAATGGGTAGAGATAAACTTCTTGTATGGAATAAAAATAATGACAGCTAACACATTCATTCTTAGTATTTGGGTCGGAAATATGCGCAGACACAATTATGAATGTAAAGAAATCAGTCACATTGTCAGTTATTGTAAATGATCATAGAAACGAAAAATAAAGCTGGAAAAGTCTGGTGCTGATTCAGTGTCCCTGGAAAGCTAGAAATTATTCTTATAACCCGATTACGAGAAGTCATCCCTATTATTCAGTCAACTTACAAAACCTAGACTTAGCATTTTAAGAAAAGTAAGGAATTTCTGGAGTGTAACAGATACTGTTCGTGTATTAGATCTACATTGAAGATGTATTCTAGCACTAGAATCGATTTGTACTTTTCATAGAGAAACTTCATGGTGACTTTTAGAAACTTTCGAGAAAATATGCGAATATTCACGATTATATTAGACACATAAAGTTGTATTTGGAGGAATTACTTCATAGCGAATTGTGTGCCCGATGGATAAAGTTGCAAAATTACAGCTTTCTATTATATGCGCGGATAATATCTTTTCTGAGTATTTGCACCAATACTATGTCGTTCATGTTCCAAAAGTTCGACAGATTTTGACGAGGCTTTCTTTTTATATTGAATTTTTTTCATTCACGCTAGTCCAAAAGAAATTACAATTTAGCATTGCCGACTCCAGCCCGTCTAACGAAATAACCAGACAAGTTACAACGTCCGTTCTTTTTTGAGTCTCAAGAGCAGAAATGCATTCTTTGGGTGCACTAAATGAGAATTACCATAAATACAAGGATACACCTTAAATTGTACGTTGAAAAGTACCAAACATTAAGTCGGCCCAGACAGAGCGGCGACAGGGAGCCGACCCCCGTGACCCCGACGTGACAAGGCGCCCGGCGGGGAACCCCCCGCAGCAACTAAAATTCCACTGCCGGTGCGCCGTGTGAAATACCCCCAAAAATGCCAGTACTCAGCGCTAGTGATTTGTGAAAGGAGCCAGTTGTCAGTGAGTTAATGTACCCGCTTTGGGAATGGCCCAAAGACAACTTCAATCAGTAGCACTGCCCTGCTATATGCTGTAGTGTACTGAGTGCTCCTCGTGTTGGAGGGGCCATTTACACTTTCAGAGTTTTGCAAAAGGATCGCTCCTAAATAATCCCAAGCCGATGAGTCCGATACTACTTATAGGAAATGAATTGGTCTTTCTACTGGTCCTGTTTTTAAGCCAGTTTTTACATATATTCTGTTACATTCTAACCGCTTGGGGCATCGCTTTCTGTGTAACAGCTTCAAATCTGTTCCCGTCGTTTTATACCCAAAAAATTCTGAAATTATGCAAACTGGGCCCCAAAATGTGAAATTAAGCGATTCTGTTAATTTTAACAAAGAATGATAAAAGAAAATAATCAGAAATTATGCAAAAAAAAGATCAAATTTTACTAAATTACGCTGGGGGCATAAAACCACGGGGACAGCCAAACACACAAACATACAAACAACTTATACTATTGTAAAGACGTAAAGCTGAACCTTTTCATTTCGTGACATTATTTGCAAAGAAACAGCAATCTGAATTGCCCTAATTTCACCAAAACCATGCACTCAGAAGGCAGTGAGTTGGCTTAAGCGTCCTGTATAGGTTACCAATTTTCCAGTCTCTTGTCCAATTCTGATGACAAAAGCTGATGAAACCACAAAGACACTTGGCCTTGATTTACCATGCAGCACAGAGTGGTTGGAAGGGTTCAAAAATAGACAGAGCATTACCACTTAAAGTTTACATAAACAGTTGCATGCAGCAAATCTGATCCGGTAAATTCATTAGGTAATTATTAACTTTCCAACCACCGAACTGTTAATTACTTCCCTACATTTTTTTCAATATTTTTCTAATTCTTATTTTATCGTTTTTTCCGACTTATGGATGTGTGAACAAACACCTTTCTCGTTTCCCAATTTGTTTGAGTTAGCCATGCCCGCCAACTGTATACTTTGCTGCTTGGCTTGCAAGCCACTGATAAACACAGATTTTTGCTGATGAAAGCCTGCCCTCACAGGGATAAGGAAAGTGAAAAAAGGTGACCCTATCTGTCCCCGTCGTTCTACTTACGCACGAAAAATTCTGAAATTATGCAAACTGAGCCCAAAAATGTGAAATTATGCGATTCTGTTAATTTTAACAAAGAATGATAAAGGAAAATAACCAGGAATTATGTAAAAAATTATCAAATTTTGCTAAGTTATGCGGGGTGCATAAAACCACAGGGACAGCCCTATCGAAGACGGCCGGTTCGAATGTCATGGGCCAAACCAGACAGCGAGTCCACTGACACTGAGACTGATGAGACTGCTGTCCTGGCTAACAAGTTAAGCTAAAAATCAGTGCCGTAAGTAGGAGCCTACATCCCCTGGCAACGAAGGGGTTATTCCACTAGGGTTGTGGAGGAGATCCATATTATTTTTTACAAACTCCTGTGTTCTGTTGAGGGATCCGAGCTGCCTGGGCATAGAACAATAAGACCAGCAAGACATGCTAAACAAACTATCCATTACTCACCATCTGCTTTCTCTTATCATGCTGAGTGTCTTGCTCATCATCAACAGGTGATTCTTCACCCTCTATGACAAGGCCACTGGAAAAGTACACAGAAAATTTCAGTTGACAAGATTTTGACCTCTGTGTTGTACAAACCAACTTGTCACTCACTTTTCCACAGAGAAATTTCAATTAGCTAAATGTCTTCTCTATGCTTATGAGCAACACCAAAAGAGAAGAAAAGAAATGACAAATTCTAACCAAAGCAATAAATACCTTATGAGGAAGTAATGAGATACAAAGGCATAACAAATTGAAATTGTGACACGTGTCATCAAAGACGCCCACAAAAATTGTGCACTTGTTTGAATATGTTTGATTAAAAATATTTGATAAATTTAGGTCACACTTAGCATTGCAAAAGTGACATGAGAGTTATATCTTTTCCGCTTTAATAGAGTCAGAAATCCTCAAATGCATCTGTATTTTCTCCTAAAAATTAAGTACCTATCCAAACAGATCGATAAAACCAAAAAGTGGAATGAGAAACTTTCCCTATGTATTCTCTTTGTGTACTGCAAAAGCAGAAACCTGATTACTGATCAGTCCAAGAATAATTTAGAAAAGTCCCTCCCTGCACAAATTAAACATAAATGGAGACATATAAATCCTCAGCTTTTGTTACTCACTCTGTCATTGTTCCTTCGTCATCCACCTTGCACACGTCATGTAGCACTTCAACAAGGCAGTTGATGATAACACCAAACCTTTCTGTCACAACACTGCAAGGAATGAAGGAAGAGAGTTTGATTCGAAAAAGGTACTTCAGTGAGAACAAGTGGGGCTTTAACTATGTGTGCCTGGCTTAAACTTCAGTCTGACACTGTGTCCTTGGGGAAATCACTTTACATGATGAATTTTCCCATTTGGCCTGGTCCTATCATACATGGACATTAATTCGCACATTTTGGCTTACTCCTACAAAAAAAGTTTAAAGTGTGACTTCCCAATATAACTCAATTACACAGAAATAAATCAACCGAATTGTTCCAGAAAAAGAAGACAGCTCAATCTTTGGGGGTCCCAGCGCAGCATCACACTGTCTGTCTTCAATCATACCCCACCATCACCTACCCTAATATGATGGAATCCCGGGAAGCTCCACACATACCATAGGTAACATGCAAGATTGCCTGCAATGGCAGCAGTGAGCGAAACATGCTGTGCAGAAGCGAGCCTTGTAGGCACATGTTGCAGGCTCATGTAAACCGATACTTTTGATGTATTTTGTTTTCCAGTAAGTGCACAGGGCGATTCGAATTCAAGACAATAGTAAGCGAAAATTTGATTAGGTTCTTTGAGATAAGTTGTTCGATAAATCAATATAATGACTGTTTGAGAAAACAAGGTTGCCAATACAAAGAAAATATAGCAGTTCAGTTGGAGAATGGTATATATATATATATGGTAAAAGCTTTCCATGAGTTTCTAATCTAGCATCTGCGCTTGTTGCCATTTTTTGGTCCAAAAGTTGCCATTAATTTTTAAGCTCTCTCTGACGACGTATAGCAATATGTTGATAAGAGGTAACTTTAAAGCACCAGACTTTCTAGTGCTCTGTTTTAAGCATCCACAATCTCATTCGTAGCCACACAGAGTGTAAAACCGTGAAAAATAAAGGTTTTACAACAGAAAGAAATCAAAATTAGAACAGCACACAAACAACCACAAAAACTAACAAATAAGGGCATGTGTCCACCTATCCGAAGATTGGCCGTTTTAACCCTAAGCGTGTGTAATTCAAGAAAAAGTACAAAATATTACATCAGTATTCGGTTTTGGTGGAGACACGCTCTAACATAACATATTATATTAAAAAAAGGTAGGAACAACATCAAATTAAATTACATTTTGCTATATGAACACAAATTTAAAAAAACAACAAAACAACACATCAAAACAATGACAAGAAAATCAACACACCAACAAATTAAAACACAACAAAGAGGGAAAAATAAAAGAGATACAGCAATATAAATAGTATGTAATGTACTTATATTCTTAACATGAAAATAACAAATCAACGTGGTGTCAATAAATAACAAAGACGAAGTGAAGAGGGAGTGAAAATAAACTTTCTTTTTAAAAGTAAAGAGGTTCGGTTCCGGTTTTTTTTCCTTCGATATTTATTCCCTGGGCATTTTCCCCTTCTATTCCCCTGCGGTGTTTTTTTTTTTGTTTGTTTGTTTGTTTGATGTTGACAAATGCAAAAATTGCGAAGCGATTCGCGGACCAAAAGAAGCCAAAAATCGCGGCCGCGATTACAGGTCATGGCCGCGACAAGCGCAGATGCTAGTCTAATGTCTCTGCATGACTGTTGATATCTTGGCTGTCGTAAGTAAAACACAAGAACTTCATTTTGTTTTGTTTACTGTAAAGTAGTGTTAAACTGGTAAGCATTGTTTCTTACAAAAGTGGCAATATATTGGATCAAAACTTTCTCATACCATTTTATTACAGATTTAAACAACATTTACCTCCTTGCTCTGGCATTTGAAGACCATATGCACAGATTAGGTGTGCAGGCATGGACAAAGATTCAAATTGATCAACATTTACTTTTGGCCTCCATGACTCTCATGAGGTTTTCATTCATATGTTAAAATGAAATATCAGTTTCATGTCTATCATAACTATGATTTTACGACGAAAGATGTGTTTTGACGCCTTCTTTTTGCCAACCTGTAAAATGAAAAATTTAGCCATTTTCCTGATGAAATAAATAATTTGAACATTTTTTGGGGTCTTATGCTTTAAAAAAAGCAAACAAATAAGCTAATGCCCTGCATTATATTAACAACTTTAAGATGTTTTAACTTTATAAGAAAATAAATTTTCAAGCAAGTCTTCTCAAATTAGCCTACTGCGGTGCAAAAGTCATTTTCATACAATTTTGTTGCTTTTCAGAATAGGAATTACAAACTTTCGGATTCCCTTAATTTTTTTAATGTCTCAACAGTATCATTGACTGCACAACATCATTGGGTGACTGTTCAAAGTAATTTTTTTGTTTGATTTGCATTTGACCTGAATTTCTTTTTTTGTTCAAAAATATTTATCCTTACAAATTGAATAATTTGAATGGTGAATTTCATCATTTTTTCCAATTCAATAAATTTTTAAAAATCTACTTTCGAAATTGAAATTTATCTTAGTAGTTGCGCCCAACTACTGAATGGGAAAATACAACTGAAATTGTGTTGGTAATAACATGAGAAAAAAATGAAGTGAAAAACTGTAAGAATTGGCGAATTTTAGTACATTAGAGGGAAAAGTTGTCCAAGATTTAATTTGAGCAACTAACAAACATTCAATACACGAATATATGGGATAGCAATACAAGTTTCTTTTGTCATTGTCATGGAATAATAACAAATCTTTTTCCGAAAATCATACATGCTCATTGAAATGACCCCCAAACCAACTTGCAACTTCAATAAACAAATCAGGCACTGCGACAATAGAGATCCACTTGCGCCCACACATTAAAATACAATTGGTCTTCATCTATCTGCAGTTTCTTAGTTTTATTCACACTATAAAAAATTTCACACCACTAAGCAATGATGCTGTAGCACAACCTCTATTGTGTCCTTTACCTGTAGTTCTGTGTAAGAAGTGAGGCCAGAGACAGAGCAGAGAGCTTCCTCCTCTCAGGCTGTGTGATAATGTCGAGACGATCTGTCCAATGATCCAGCAAAGCACCAAACAAGGAATTCGTCTGATGGATAGAACAAAATATTGCTTGAAACAGTAAAAGAATGAAATCCAGGATCATGAAACAGTTTTAGTTTTGGTAGAGGTTTTGTTTGTTTTAGTAGAGGTTTTACGGCGCTCGCAACTGCATAAGGAAACAAACGGTACTCGCAACTGCATAGGGTCATATGAGCACCAGAAAATTAGAGGGGTTACAAGAGAGTAACAAACATAGAAAAGAAGAAGGGGAGATAAGGACGATAGATGTTAGACAGGAAAGAAGGAGCAAACCACACCAGAGCACCCACTAACCACCCACATCATCATGAAACAGTTTGAGTGTATAGTTTTTTAGCTCAAAATACAAGAGCACTTTGTACACAAAACACTTAACTCTCTCCTAGACTTGCATGAATTCTCTCACATGCACAAACATGGCACTACAATGAAACTCGCATCCAGTGGCCTTGGATTAGTTTTAGTAAGGTTTTACGGCCCTCGCAACTGCATAAGATTTATAAATACGAGTGCCAAGGCGAGGAGGTCAACACAGAAGTCCAAATGGGGAATCAGGCTTGCTCTGCTCACCTCTCTAGCCTCAACAGCAAAAAGTCTGCCTCGACTATCAAAGCACCCCAGAAAAAGCAGTTCACAAGAGAGTGACAAACATATAAAAGAAGTAGAGGAAAAATGACGACAGTAAGGATGAGGAAGGAAAAGGCAGCAGTTCCCCCTATGTTATTCTGGCACAGTATGAGCATAATAACTGTTAATAGCCCCCTGGGAATGGCCTAAAGACAATTTCAGTCAGTAGCACTGCCCCGGTGGGGGATGGCATTAGATTGAATAAAACCTCACATTTAACAATAAGAGAGATAATCCATATTTATCATTCATTAAAATCAGCTCATTTACAATTCTACTGTGCATAAGAACGCAAGATATTAACGCCCCCCCCCCCCCCCCCCCAGGGATTTTGTCAGTTTGCAGCAGACACCATTGACATGTAGGAAAAGGAAACATTAGCCACTCACATCTCTTCCATTTTCACTTGCAGTATGTTGGATGGCAGACCACAGGAACTCTTGATTCTGAAGCAAAATCCTCGCGAACAGGCTTAAATGCATTGCCATTGCAACACAGTTCTCCTGAAAATAATAACAACAATATTCCTATTATAAACATCACTAGCTAAAAAGCTCTGTGGATTCAAGCAGTATACACCTTGCCAGCAAAAATCTGTCCCTGTAGGATTAAGCGATTGTGCGGCCGTGTTTTTTCGCGTAATTCTGCAACATTTGCATAATTTTGGATTCCCTGCGTTTTTTCAGGTTGGTTTTTTTTTTCATTTTTCAGAAAACAATTAATTAACGCATCGCCACGTGACTAAAGGGAAGTAATCAATGTAATAAGTCTCATTTAAGTGAAAAGTTGGTCATTTCCTCTGTCAGGAGATCTTGATTAATGGTTATGTGTTAGGGATTTTGTTCCTTGAGCTTCTATTTTTCAATCCATCAAAAGTTGCTCTCGTCTCATGTTTGCTGACGTTTCATGTTTGACAGGTGTCCCTGGTTCTAGTTATGTGCCAGCATCAGAGGTCCAGATGTCTTTTCTTCTTTTTTTTTTTCATTTTTCTTTCCTCTATTGATCTACAGCAGAAAATTACAGAGATATTTTTTGGTTGGTTTTTTTTTTTGCTGACTGATGTGTATTGTTTTCTTTCCAAATACTCAACAAATTACTGATACTGATATGTTCTGTTTTCAATATTTCTGTGCATAAAACATGAAAATTTTTGTTGAAAAAGTGCAAAACATGTCACGAATGGTGTTACGGTAACTTGTATAATTTTTGCATAATTTTGCATTTTTCTTGCATAATTTGGCCCTTTAAATTTGCATAATTCTACGGGGACAGAAAAATGAAATTTTGTCAATCAGGAAAATTTGACTTTTGCCAACAGGAAAATAAAATCAAGGAAATCACCAAACTCTAATATGTATTATTATGATGCTCTACACCTCTCTCTTTTTTTTTTTTATAGTAGAGGGTTTTACGGCGCTCGCAACTGCATAAGGTCTTATGAGCGCCAAGGGGTGGGTGTCAACAGAGAAGTCTCTACAGGGAATCAGACTTAGACTGCTCACCTCTCTAGCTTCAACAGCACAAGGTCTGCTTCGACTATCAAGGCACCCCAAAATAGCAGGTCACAGGGGAGTGACAAACATACAAAAGAAGTATAGGAAAATGACAATAGTAAGGATCAGGAAAGAAAAAGCAGCAGTTCCCTGTTGTAGATCAGGCACAGTTATGAGCGTGACATGAGTCAGCCCATTTACATTTCTACTATATAATACTTGAAAGTAGGTAGCGTAAACACGGCCTCGCGGGCACTCACGGCCTTCCGACCGCGTGGTATCGGTAAAATCGGGGTAATTCCGATCGCCGTTTCTTTGCTCTTTCGCTATAAAACACCAAATGCTGTACACCTTGTAAAAGTTCCGCTTTTCCTCGTTACAATGGTGTAAGTTGTTTATATGTCCGATTAGTAGGAGCTGGAGAATCGCCGACGAAAGCGAAGCCCCTCGCGGTCGGAATGCGAGGTCGGCCGGTTGAAAAATTGACACGCGTGCATTCAAATGCTTCGCGGAACGAGGGATGATTTAATACCGTCTTTTCATTGGCGGAGAACTGCAGAGCTTTAAACAGGCTTTCCCGTGATATAAGTTTAGCCTTTGGCGTCTTTATAGAAAGCTTTTAAAAATACCGTCAAAATGTTTAAAGATCCCTTTTTACACAAAATATGTATAATACCGACTTATAACTGGTATCAATTAAAAGATCAGTTCATTTTCTATTAGAATAAAGTTATTAATTTGGAATTATTTTTCATCAATCCTTCTGCGAGACTCGGAAAGCATGTGACCCCGCACGCCGGGTACACTACAGTATAGAGCCGACTCGCTCGCCGCGGGGGCCGGTGCGTGCCGCCGGGTCAACGCTCTGTGTTTTTGTCGAAATAACGACAGATCATCGTGTTTGAGGCGATAAAATACTGAATTGTAAAGATCTCACAGTCTTGAAAAAAATTAGGCTCCATATATTTGTTATAGTGATTGTACTCTGTTAATGTGGAGATGTTTAGTGCACTTGGTACTTTTTTTTATTGTCTGTCAAACATGGGGTTGCAGCCCGTGACTGACTTTAACAAATTTGATCAAATTTTAAACAACTACAATTTTCTTAAAAATTGACGGAGAGGTTAAAGAATGGTACCAAAATGCTCAGTGGATATAGGCCTTTCAAATGGAACAGATAAATTTGGCATACAGCTAGTTTGAAAATTTAGTTTCTGGTACCTATTAAAAGAGATGTGTCCCCCCTTTGGGAATGGCCTAAAGACACTTCAGTCAGTGTCCCCCAGGGGGTCACACCTCTCTTTGGTCCTCATAATCACACTAGAAAGCACGTAGCATGGAGACACATTCTAATTAATATTCATTCACTTGCAAACTTTCCATTACTGTCCATGGAAAAAAAAAGGCCACACATAACCTGTACGAGCATGGAGTGCAGAATCCAACTTCATTACACTTTCAACAAACTCACTGCTGTGGGCAATTTTTTAGTCTTTGTTTTGTTCGTTATTTACACTTGTGGAGCATGCAAGTCTAACACCAAGTTTCTAATATGACAAGCAGAATATTCCAAAGTGACTGCATGGGGACACAAGACAGCTGCAGAATCAAAAGTACTGACGATGGTAATGTTTGTATGAAATGAATACTGCCTTTTAAGTTCAGCTTAAACTGTTTCAGTACCATACTCAGTACATGAGACGACATGCCTAGAATGAAACACCTGGCCTACTCTTCAGACGTCAAAAAAAACAAAAACAGGAGCGCCCTGGGCCATTTTGTGCCCATCAAAGATGCTCTAGTGGTTGAAAGTTGAAGAACATGCCTGCACACAATGTAGACCTGCATGTGAGCCTCAACCAGATTGTCTGAAAATTTAGCGCACCCCCCCCCCCCCCCCCCAATATCTTATAAGAGCTTTAAATTTGTGGGTGTCATAAAAGGAAGGACTTCCGAGTAAACGAGCGACCACCCCAACAAATAAAATAAAAGAGACCTAACCCTTACCCAAACCCTACCCCCAAACAGAACCAGCTATGGCCCTCATGTAAAAAGGCCAGCACAAGTCAACAACAAAAAAAAGACACACTCCAAAACAAACAAGGAGCATAATATGGCCTTCATTGCCTTATTAAATTAATAACAGGGTTTGATACAATAATACAACAGAATTGGAATATGAATCCTCCATATTGTTATAGATCTAGTAATCTAAATAAATCTAGATCTAGAATCTAGATCTAGATCTAGTAGAAAAAGTGAATAGGAATAGGCCTTGAACGAGAAATCCGCATCCGATTCCAAACAGAGGGACTCAGCTGAGTCTAGAGATCTAGAATTCAGTCTAGATTCTAAGTAAATAATTCACGCACCTGATGAAATGCGTTTTACCAACATTAATATTACAATATTACAGCACAACCTATAATAGAATTGGAATATGAATCCTCCATTGAGGTCTATAATGGTCTATAAATCTAGATCTCTAGATCTAGAGTGGAACAAGTGAGTCGAACTTGAATGAATCCACATGATCTGAACAATCAGTAAACAAACGAAATTCAAAATGGCCACTCGAGCACGAAACTGAAAGTAGATAATTTAGGTCGTTGTACTTTTTCGTATTCGTATTTCTACTCAGGTTCCGACAATTATGTTGGAAACGCCGAAGTCGGCACGAAAACGAAAGTGCCGACAAAGCCGACGGGAGAAAAGGGGGGCGCTGGCAGTCAGCGATTGTCGGCAAACATGCAGGTCAAACATTGTCCATAAATAAAAAATTCCAAATAAACCAACCACCAAAGTGAACGAAACTGCATTGTACATAGAATCTTCAAAATGGCAAATATATGACAAAGGAAACTACTAACACAACTACTACAAAAAATAGCCACATACAGAGATTAAAAGATCTGTGGTTTGATAAAACTGCACTTGAAGATCTGGGAAATACGGAAGAAACAGAAGAGACAAGCTAAATTTAGGTACTGAAACAATCGGAGTTTGGTAACTTGAACATTCTACGTGAGCAAGGCAAAATGTCAGTTTCATCTCAAACTTATGCATTTTTCTCTCAAGAGGTTCAACTGCAACAGTTCCAAAATTGAGCTGCACAATCGGTCTTAAAAGAATCCCCCCAAAAAGAATGTTATGACACTTTTTAAATTGATTAAGCTATATATTTGTTACCGGTAAAAGTTAGAACCGATCGAACAAGTTAGGTGGCAGAGACTTTTCTTCCTATCTTCCTATGCCCCTAAAATCTAGAATCGCCCCCCCCCCCCCCCCCAGTCGGCCTGTCAAGAAATGTGCATTAGAACATCAGACAGAGACAGAGTTTAATGATGAATTTTTAAAAGTGATACTTGCAACATGACACAAGCATTGAGTCAAACATTATAGCTGAGAGAAAAGAAAGTGTACAAACTTCTCCATCAAGAATGGTGTTGAGAATGCCAGGAAGCATAGACTGGAACACAGGTGGGCCCTCTTGGGGAAACGCTTTCAATACCACCTCAACAGACTGAAACAGAAAAGTCAAGTCAATATTTAGAAGAATGAAAGAATTTTACTGATTACGAGCAAATCAAAAGAACAAAATAGGAAATGTTCACTTCATATACTTTTTATACAATGCAATACTAATGAAATTACAGAGTATATAAATAAAAAACCACAAAGAAACCTCCACAAATCAAAGGCAAAACTAAAAAAATCAAACCCAAATCAAACCACCACACATTATAAAAATGCAAAATCAATGATTTTAAAGGCAAATTCTGGAAATATGTACATTTGCCCACAGCTAACTACAAACAAGCAAAACTCGATTTCACCAACAGTTTACACTATATACCATAGGAATGTATGTATTCGTTGTAGTAACAGCACAGTCTTCTCATACACCCACAGGGATGTGTCGGAACAGCGCATCTCGTAATTCGAAATAACATTTTTCCATACAAATGTTTTGAAAAACAAACGCACCCATCATCATCAAGAGCATCAGCTTACATGAGCCAAGCAAGCTAACCTCCGCACAGTTACACACACTGCTGGTATCAATGCACATCACAGCACATCAACTGATGTGTAAGGTGTCAGTACTTGCTTGTAAATAGTCATGTGAGGGTGGTGGGGTGTAATGGAAGACAGACAGTGTGGTGTTGTATTGGGTCATATTTTGTGTGATCTGTGTTTGCGTGTATATATGTATGATTGTTTACAAGTGAGGGTGTAGATTGGGAAGTGATTACACAAAAGAGTTGGGTGACAGGCAGTTTCGGTTATATTGTTATGACATACGCAATGTGAGAGCCATAATTTTAAGTTGTAAGGCTCATATCAGTACAGTAGTCTCCTGCTCAGGAGCTTAGGAGAAAGCAAAAAGCGGGATCTTAGGAGAACAGGATCTTAACCAACTCATCAGAAGAAGAATCCACACTGACTCATGGTCAGGCCCACATTCAGTAAAATGATCTACCCTTACTTTGAAATGAACTACGGACAAAGAGTGGTTAACCTTGATGACCAATCACAGTGCCATTTTCACTTATCCAATCACGAGACTCAAGACCTATGTCAGTTCCACTGCTCCTCCCCTTCACCAGTCAAAGATCTTTAGCATTCCATCTCAGACCAAGTTCCCTGCTCATGTCAAATGCACCATTGCATTGCGACTGCATCATCCAGTATATCAAATTCAGCCAAAAAGAGGAAAAAACAACTGTGATGGTCAGGGAAATAAAGCACTGGCTAGTTCACAGTTCCGTGTGATCCCAACTTGTAGGCCCTACCCACCTAGAGTGTGGTATAAGTTCAGACAATAGGCTCAAATGCAGGTGCGAAGTTTGGGGAAAAATATGTCAACAAGTATACACCTCAGTGTGGTCCTCTCTGGGGCAAACATTGTGCCAACGAGTTATTAGGTTTTACAAGGGAGATGTAATCCCGTTCACAAAGGGGGGGGGGGGATTATCTGAGACGCAATGCGCACTACAATGATCGCAAATTTTCGCTACCTGGTTGATCAACTTTGCTTGCCTGGGTTTTTGTTCCATAAATCATGATTTGAAATGCGGGATCTTAGCTAAATGTATTCCTTCAGAGCAGAATCTTAAGGGTGACTTTTGTATCATAAAAATTCTGTTTTCTTAAAACAGCAGAATCATAAGTGATGGGATCTTAGGCGAAGACTACTTTATCGCTCTTGTCCTTTCTATTGCTTTGACACCCAACAAGGCCCACGCACTATCCACCCTTCTATCGATGCCAGATACTTGCCTTTTCCAACCATCAAAGCGTCACAGTCACTTCCCTAGATTTTCTTCAATACCTCTTTAATTATTTGTTATCACTGTTTATTCGATTTAAATTACAGGTTTTTTGTTTATACATCTGCTAACCCCCGACGTGTTCAAGGTATCTATGCTCAACTGTGCGTCTTCTATCTTACCCTCAGAATGAGCACAATGCCTTCTGTGCGGATGTCAGTCATCAAACTTCGCAATGAAGACGCTAAAACTTCTGAATATGTCTGTAATGAAAATGGAGAAAAAAAATTACATCTCACTGAAATCAAAAGAAAGGAAGCAGCCGGCTACCACAAGGACTTCTGTCATTATGCCAACACTCTGACTGCTTGTACTTAACAATTAAGTCCTTGAGTCTTAATCTTTTTTAAAGCAGCACACACTCACAAAAATGCTTTTACCTTGATGGCAAAGCTAAGTGTCAAGTTTAAAAAAGCAAGCATATATATATAATATATATATTTGGACGTTTGGGAAAATATGTAACTCATTGATAAAAAGAACTAATATGCCAAACTGAAATTGAGATTGAGTAAAGAGAAGAACATCAACATTATAATGGTCATTTAGTGCAGAGAAAAGATAGAAAAGAAGGACAACCTACCAGAAACACCCTCCAATCCAACCTTTCACTAAATGGTAACAGAGAAGAAAAGGAGACAGTGAGGACAAAGAATGCACACAAAACCAGGAAAAAGTCCACTCAGACTCACCTGCATAAAATCCCTCATGCCAAGGAGCACGTAACACTGAATGATCTTCAGACATACACGCAGATTTTCTGTACCCAGTTCTGAAACAGCATAAGAGTTTGAGCAAAGAGAAGCACATCCACACTATAACTGTCATTCAGTGCAATGATAAAATAAGACAAATAGAAACAATAAAGGAAAAGAAGAGCAACCTACCAGAGGTCCCTTCCAACCAACTGCACCCAAAGTAGAGGTTTTAAGGCGCTCGCAACTGGACATGGTCATATGAGCGCCAAGAAGTAGATGTCAACAGAGAAGTAAATAAAGGGAATCAGGCATACTCTACTCACCTCTCTAGCTTCAACAGCACAAAGTCTGCTTCGACTATCAAGGCACCCGGAAATAGCAGATCACAAGGGTGTCACAAACATACAAAAGAAGTAGAGGAAAATGACGATAGTAAGGATTAGTAAAGAAAAAGCAGCAGTTCCCTGTTGCTGTTCAGGCACAGTTATGAGCATGACACTGATGAATCAGCCCATTTACAATTCTACAGTGCATAAGAACATGTTAATGTCTCCCCTTTGGGAATAGCCTAAAGACACTTCAGTCAGTAGCACCGCCCTGTGGGGTAAAATCAAATGTTCAAGGGAAGAAAGTGGAATGATGGGGGTCACCTGAACACATACTTTGTACGAGTGCAAACAAATACATAACTATAGAGGACCCACCCAGAGACTGGAAAGGCTAAATGGAGCCAGCAAACGAGAGGCAGTAATAGTAAGGCAAAGCAAAGACAAAAATTAGTGAACGAATTTCCAAGATTGTTAAACATCTAGGTACAGGGCTACAAAACCCTGAAGGTGAATACTCAAAACCATAAGTTTTTGTGAAAAATGTCTGCAGGGCTAGAAAAATACAACCCAACACAATGACACCACATAATATCCCCACAATCTGTTTTAGGGTTGGAGTTTATGGTAACTCAATATGACAATGGTCAAATATCGCCAGTGGAATATTGATACAGAGCAGAAGTAGCATACCACACCATGACACACAGCAAAGCCACATGCAGTTTCCAGAAATGTAAAAGTTGTCAAACAAAAAACAAGAAAGAAGAGAAGATGACCCAAATGGACATTTCAAAGGAATGTTCACAAAAGCCACTACTTCTGGGTTCTACAACCTTTCATTCAAAGCCACCAGGCTCCCAAACATAAACAGGGTGCACTGGAATGTTCACAAGACACTATGTGTAATAGACATTTGTGGATGAAGAAATGATCCATAAAGCAGGGTGTTGCACACAATAAAAATCAAATCAAACTCCAAAGACACCACATTGTTGAACAGCTTGAGTTTTCTTGTCGCAATATTACATAGTGAGGTATTGCGGAATACAAACATAGCAAAGATGACATGTTGCTGAAGAGCTTGAGGAGCTCTCACGTTTAAAAAAATGTAACAAAACAAACCTAGCAAAGGTGGCATGTTGTCGAAGAGCTTGAGCAGTTCCGGGGACATGACGGGCGCATTGATGAGAGTGACGTACCACAGCTCCAGGCCATCTTCCATGAGGTACACATGCGGTTGCTGCGTCGTGTCTGTACTGATAGCGATAGCCGGAAGAAGGAACTGCCAGAGCTGCGTAGACTCAGAGCCATAGCCCTGCAACAGATAAGAGCTTGATAAAGGGAGGGACAATGGGTTTACCGTATTTAAACAAATAGACACAAAGATTTTTTCTTCACTTTAAATGGAGCAAGACAAGAGGTGACAGCAGTTTCTATCTCAATTCATAACAAATAAGTAAAATGGTATCACAAAAGACTTTGAATTTCAAAACAATACACAGACATGCGCATTTGTGGCAGAGAAACAAGAAAAAAGTAAAAGCAACTTACAGTCATAGTCAATTGCAAAATTATCCTATGCACCTCAGCAGCTTAACACTTTGCTGTCACATCTCGCCGATCGGCAATGTTTACCACCCAGTGTTTTAAGATTTACCCCAAAATGCCTTTGCCTTTGATGGTAAAGGTTTTTACTATGTTAGCCTTGTGATGGCAAAGTGTTAAAGGAGGAAGAAAGGAAAGGGACATAAACCCAGCAAAGTCTGATGTTCCTCAGCAGGTTCTGGGACAGGATGTCCTTTTCCTGGTTGGGTCTCACATGTCATCAGCACTACTTTAGGGAAGCATGTTGCAGCCAGTTTAAAACCCCCCAAAATATTGTGACTCATTCTCAAGAGTGTATCCCAGGAAAACAGTCTATAGCAAGCACTGAATCATCATCACCCCCCCCCCAAAAAAAAAAAAAAAAAATAATAAATTTTAATTGGAGCCTGCTTGCTGGTTGATGGGCTTGCTGCTCCCTCTTTTCAAGTGGTAACTGTTTTTTTTTCCCCTGCCTGTCACAACCTAGACATGCCTCTGTCCATTCTATACCGCATTAGTCTAACACAAATCAATATGACGGATAACCAAGGAGAATTTGTCATTTTTGCTGTTGTAGAAACTTTTGCACCGTTTTTTATTTGAGAAGGGAAACAGTGCAAACTTTTCAAAGACTGTAAAAATTAAATAAATCCGAATTCTCTTAACACATTACACCCAAAGGGCCTGGATGGGAAGTCCATTGTTAGATCCTAAGCAAGAGGAAGGAACCCACCTCCCGTGAATACAAGTGTTTAAAAAATACATTTTAAAAATACTAAACAAATTCCAAAAATCCTGAAAAAATAAGAGTTAAAAAGAAAACTGAATGTAGTTTCAGAAAAATATAACTTTATGTATGCGCAAACTGTTGGAAAAGTTGTAACTTTAGTTCAATCGGGGTGTCCGACCCGTCATTCTCAGCCTCCTGGTCGGGCCCTAGATCTAAATTCTTGATTTTCTCCGTCTGTTCAATCTGAATCGCCCCAAACTCTTGCAACAACGTTTTCATCAAAATCTGAGCCATCTGATTTGTCATATGCTTGTTTTTGCTCAAATCCATCGTTATTTCCGTTTTCGAACTCAATTGTGTCGCTTTTCAACAAGTCGAGACACTTTTGAAGTGTCGGTAACACAATCCCACTTCGATCAGCTCTAATACTAAAACTACTGGCCCGAAAAATTCCGTTTCGATATCAAACGAAAGAAGAAACTTTTTGCAATAACTGTGCAAATCAAAATCCCGGCCCCAGAGTCTCATCAAGGCGAGACTTCGTTTCTAAAGACGCTAGGTCAGCGCGGGCGGTTCAGGGCGAGTCAGGGTGGAGCGTGTAAGGGAATTCCCGGGCGAGTTAGGGTGTAATGTGTTAGTTAACCTAAAGACCACAGAACATGGTAATCATGACGCACCTGAACAAGATGTATCAGGCTGGTAAGGATGGCACATCTCAGCATGTTGTGCTCCTCAGACTCATGCCACAGTAAGGGTAGATATTGCACAAGGGAAGCAATGTATGGACGAATCTTGGAGCCCACTCGCTCGATCACAAAGGAAAGCACATGAAGGACATTCATCTGACAAAAGAAGATATCCTCAAGGTTCAAAATATGCCAAAAGCTAATAGCTAACATAATCTAAACATGTAGACCCTGGAGACCCCGGGTTTTCGAATTTAGGATAATTGTCAGGACAGAGCCAAGGCAAAACGAATCAAGGGAGAAAAAGTGGCTGGCACAATGGCCTGTTTGAGTGTTACAAACTAATCAACTTCACAATGTTGTTGCCAAAAATTCTACATAAAGAGACTATTCACTGCAGGAAACTAGTATGGGACCAACGACCTACAAAAGCCCAGTAACATAATAGCGACGACAAGCAAATATAACACATGCCAAATAGAAAACATAAAAAAGGCAAAATTTGAACTACAGCATTCTGAAATCAAAGCTGTCATTACATTACACATTTCTCTGTAGAAACAAGACAAGAGCAAGAGACATGAAGAAAACAAATGTGATGTAAAAACTGCTGCGAGCAATCTGACAGTATTCATTTTTTTCCCGAGCATGTTACCCTCTGACACCAAACTGCTTGAATATGTTGACATTTCAGTACAAAAAGTAAGCTCAGCTCTGGTAAATGTTTATCATCTTGAGACTTAAATCTAAAACTTAAAAAAAAATAATAATCATCGTCATTTAGCCATACAGATATTTACCTTCGTATCACATTCCCTCACTTCTTTGAGGAGTTGGAATAGAAGAGATATCACTGACTCTATGTACTGAAAATGAAAGCAACATTAAACACATTTTAAAAACAATAATTAAGCCATCTGTGAAATTTGCAAAAAGAAATTATCTGCTTTCAAATGTTAGGCAACCGTAAGGTTAAACAGGTAAAAAATAAACAGTATGGTGTTCATCACTCTTTTAGCATAAAATCTGATCTCGCCTATTTTAAATTCAGATAATTATTACTACAGATAATAGACAACAAAAAAATCAATATGGTAAGTTTAAATTAATCCCATTCTCCAAAATTAATAAGTCTTCCAATCATTTGATGGACTTCTTCATTTTACATTGAAGTTTTAAGTAAGATTGAACAGACAAAACTTGATTTGGTTCTGTGTTGAAAACTTAAAACTTACCGGAAGCAGTTGCTCTGTATTGAATTCAAAATCATCAACAGGTGCAATAAGTTAAGGAAAGGAGTCTATTTAAATAACACTCAGTACATTCAAACAGTTCATCGAAGTTAAAAAAAACCAAAACAAACTTGTCAACAAAAGTCTGAAAGCCAATTTCTCTATAGAATTTGAAAACTATACAAAATACTAAAATGTGTACAAATATTCCAGAGACAGATCCCTACACTCACCGGCTACACGTGTCGCATAAGATGCGGTCATAGTACTGTTTCCGCTGACTACCTTTGCCGCAGTCCCTGTGGTTTTTTAGCTCAGAGGGTTTTTCCGCGTTATACTGCAGCATATGTGGCGTGGGCACTGCTTTTAGAAACTACAACCACTTCCGCAACGGAAGAGCAGGAAAAGGGTAGTAATGCACTTTTGGTGCTCTAAGCGCCAAGTGCCATTATGCATAGGACAATGTTTCTGTGTTTATCACACGAAGGAGAGTTACTGGCTGTAACAAACTGTGACAATTGGACAGACCGTTGCCATCGAAGGTCCTTTTTGTGTTCTCTATGGGTATGTGTCACAAACAATAGGAAACAAATGTTTTAGTTGCGTACAATTCACACTTGATTTGTTTTCCTGGGTCCCAATTTGAGGTCCAACCATGGTTATAGCAGAAAATTTCCGAACCTTTTTTTGAGTGTTTTCTAAAAATTAGATGAAAGAAGCAAAAATAGCATTCTGTTTGTTGTATTACAATCTTTAATATGTCCATAATAAGTATCCAAAGTTTAGTGACTTTATGTCAGTTAGTTTTGTTACAGTGATCATTAGGAAAACACATTGAAATAGCAGGTACCCAGTGTACATCAAAGACAAATATGGCGGGTAGCCAGTGAGTTAAATTAAAAAAGCAACTTAAAGCGCAACAAATAAAAAAAAAATTACATAGAGTTATAAAAGAAAGGGAAAATAAAGCCTCTGTACAAATCGAACTGTTGAGTTTACACAGAATCATTTTATCAATAAGATCAGCTTACTGATACTACCCAACAGTACAGAAACAAGACACATAAATCTCTTCCACAAAGTGAGCAAGGATATCAGTTTTGAGAGTCTGTGCGGCCTCCAGTCGAACTGCCAGATCCTCATTGAGGTCGAGAAGGCCCAACACTGCCTGATACAACACGGGTCGGAGGCTTACTGACATTTTCACTCCAACCCACTGACCCATCAACCAGACCACACGCTTGCGGATGACTCTATAGCTGGAAAAGCAAAATCAACATATGAAAGTGCAGAAAAATGTACAGCAGAAATTTAGACATTGATCTGGAACTATTCGCCAATTATACTAAAAAAGTAAGTCTTTTATAAAACAGAAAGCAAATCAGGAAAACACCTTAAGAAATGCCTATTGATGACATTGTAAAACTAATTTCCGTTAAAAAAAGGAAACAACTGCTTATTATGCAATAAGAAAAAGCGCCTAAAACATGACAAGCAAGCTTAAAGCTGGGCTTCTCATCTAAAATTTCCCATTTCAGGTAGATTTCGTATAAAATTCAGAGAGTACAAAAACAAAGAAGGGAAAAAAACAACAACATTACCCAGGTACAAGTAGTTACCACTGGGTGAAGCTGGTTTATAGTAATTACTTTATAATCATATTTCAAAAACTTAAAGCTTAAAGCGTGTGTGTAAGCATGAGAGCATGCGTGCATCTAGGTATGCTTATTAGAAGGTAAAAATGTTGATGAAACAAGATGTGTTTCTATTTGAAGGAACATTTATGGACTGGAGTCCACGGCTTTTTAGTTTTAGTTGAGGTTATACGGCACTCACAACTGCATAAGGTCATATGAGCGCCAAGGGGTGGATGAGTGGATGTCTACAGAGAAGTCCTTACAGGGAATCAGGTATACTCAGCTCACCTCTGTAGCTTCAACAGCACAAAGTCCCTCGGAAATAGCCGGTCACAAGAGTGTGATAAACATACAAAAGAAGTAGAGGAAATGACAATAGTAAGGATTAGGAAAGAAAAAGCAGCAGTTCCCTGTTGCAGTTCAGGCACAGTTACGAGCATGACATTGAGGAATCAGCCCATGTACAATTCTACTGTACATAAGAACATGTTAATGTCCCCCCTTTGGGAATGGCCTAAAGACACTTCAGTCAGTAGCACTGCCTCGGGTGGTGGTCCAAGGCTCTAATCAACCAGTCTTGAATGCGTATTTGAAAGTACAGCGACGGTCAAACTACTTTAAAATCCATAACCGTACCAATAACGACTATATTAAAGCATATTTCCTGACAAGGACATGCCAACACACGAAAGAGAATTGGGCCAATTTTAAAATACTTTATTTTTTATTATTCTAAAAATCTCAACCCCCTAGTAAGGATGTCTTACCAAAAAAAAAGGAGGACCCTCTTAAAAGGCAACAACTCAATCATATTTGCACCAATTTCAACAAAACTTCAAACAAATAGAATTCATCCAATGGAACGTCCAGTTTGTTAATAAACAGAGTTCGAGAAATATCAAGTTAAAAAAATTCCAACCAAAATTGGGTAAAACTCTAATCTTTACTTCTTAAAAGCATTCAGCTCCATGGGTGTGATCGGCTCTTTCTGGTTTCAGGACGAGGCCAGTAAACAGTAAAACCACAACAGTCACATCAGTTGGATTTTTCACCATGCTGAGAACATTTTGAAGTTTGTGGGGAAGGTATTATACTGGTTTCAGTAGGATTAAGTCACACCCCACATGTCAGGAGTGGCCCTTGTATGATTGCAAGAAAAGTTTGGGGAATGCCTTATACGACAAAAGCTTACAAATGAATGGTCACCGCATACCCTGAGCCTAAACCCCTTCAAATACATGTATTACCTTGGGTTTTTCTTGTACTTCAACCCCTTCAAAAACATGTATTATTTTGGGGGTTTTCTTGACAGTCTAGGGAAACAACCTATAAATAACTGAACATTTGAATCTCAATTATGAACTTGAGGTCCAGAGAATCAACCAGGAAACATGTCAGAGTTATTCAAAATTTCCAGTAGTGGATCTGACTGGAGCTTGAATGAAGAGAAATGGTTAACATCTGGAGCAAAATTTGTTCTTTGATGCACAAACAATATGGATGATTTTTTTAAAAATGCAACTGCATAGTTTTGCATTCCATTCAATTTTGGTTAATTTTTAATTTTTTTTATTTGATATTTCTTTTAATGTATTGGTTGATATTCCTCATATTGACAAATTTACATACCCTCCGGTAGAATTTTATTTTGTTTGAAGTTTTGTTGAAATTGGTCCACGGATGACCGAGCTATTGCTTTCTAAATGAGTCATTTTTTTAGACACTTGGTACCTGAACAATCAGTAGAAATAGGCAGCTCTGTTAAAGTAAACTTCTCTTTCAAATTTGGAAGAAAAAAAAATCAAAATTACAACCCACACTAAAGTATAAAAATACACTGTAGGCTTACATACTAAATATAATCTATTTTTGTAGTGCAAAAAAGAATAAGATAGTAAAAAGTAAAGAGGAAGAAAAAATATGTACCTCGGTCTTCTGTCTCATAGCAATTACACAATCATTACAATTTCAGTCAGTTTGCCTACATTTTTATAAATAGTCTGATCAAGGTCCTGCTATCCCTGTAAGTTAGGCTACCAGACTCATAATCGCGAGATTGCAAGTTCAGGAGGATCAACGCTCTGCACTATCCAATGTTGTCTCCTTGGGAAAGGCACTTTACATTAATTTTCCCTTTTGGTTCAGTCCTATCGCAGGTGGACGGACGTAAACACTTTCCACCCACCCAGCACCAAACGTTTGTCCCCGTGTACCAAGTACCAGGATTCAGATGGAGTCAGTACATCACTACTATACCTGTCTCTCGGCAAAAATACTCCAATCATTATAATGTAATTTTGAGCTCATTGAGAAAATTGAACAGGCCTGTCGCAGGTTCATCAAAAACGGAATAAGCATCAGGACTAAAACCATTAAATCTAGCACATTCATCACCTGAAACTTCATCATGGTGTCAGTGTAAAGCAGCAACCATGCTAGGTCTACATGACATTTAACTCTTTTTTAAAAATTCGCTCTAATTGTAATCAAACTGATTTTTGTACTCAAAGACCACACAACCCATTCAAGAAAGAAATCGTAACTTTAACAAGTGCCAGTGCCCATGTCTAGAAGGATATAATTCCTACGTTTTGTTGCTATATCACTCAGTTGCCGAAGGCATCCCGTGGGGGAAAACTGACAGCTTCTTACCGTCGCCGATCGGCGTCCCCCGGGGCCAAAGCATTAAATTCAGCCGGACATTCTTCCAATTTTTAAGAGGCAAAACTAGTTACTCTTAATTTATTCAGTACACGGTACATAAGACCCTTCGGTATGATTCATAAATGCATATAAAATAAACAAAGATTTTCATAAGGAAACAACTGTTAATGTCAAAATAACAACACATTAACAAAACACACACAAAAAGAAACCCCAAACTGCAAAAGTACTTTGTTGTGACAGAACAGACACAATGAAATGAGAACAACTTCTAAAAAAGAAAAAGAAAACTTCTTTAACAACTAAACCAGTTTGCACATGAGCACTCGTAAATATCACAGCTACAAAGTGCCAAGCACTATTTTCTTTACAATTCCACCTCTTTACAGTTCAATAAGATGTTCAAGATATTCACATTCATTTCATAAAGCCACACAAACTGATTCTTGCAGCATTTTTTGTACCTGAACCGAAGTTCTTTAGCTGAATCTTTATTCATTCGTACCTCTTGTGCTTCACTTGAAGCTCCTGCAACAAGTGACTGGTGAACCAGGAGTCAAAATCAATTTCATCAAACAGGTCAAAAGATGCCAAACCAACAGCATTGTAAGCTGAAAAGCAAACACAACAGAATAATGTTGACGGACAGCTGCACATAAGTGGAAAGAAAAGACCTTTCACTAAAATTGTAGAACAGACTAACAATAACAACAAAAATCTCCATGTTGGGATACATATTACATCAGAACAAAATACAATCTTGAAATTTAATATGGGGTTGTTGTGTGGGGGTTTTTTCAAACTATTTTTCAAAATTGCTAGTGAAACATTATATTTTTTATGAGCGGGGTGCAAAATCTGAACAAAAGTACGATGGAAAATGTATGGCAGGCTGTGATTTTTGTGACACTTAAGAACATGGAGGGCTATACTTTACTTTTACCAGAGCAAGAATATGCACACATACAAATACTGAATGATGGGTACATTCTCACATTACATTCGTTTGCTTACCTGCATCTTTCCTTAGCACAGCTGCAAGGTTCTCTGGATCACATGGTCCCTGCATGGCCTGAACCATCTCCAGTAATATTGGTGTTAATGAAAGACGGAATGCCTTGAAAATGGTCAAAAACAAGGTTTCTGTGCAGGGCTGAAAAAAAGAAAAAAAATCCAAAACAAAATGAAAAGGAAGCCTGCAAAGTAAAAATATAACATAACAATTTGTATGATCATTCATTAATACATAGCAATAAAGCTGGATTGTGAGACAAGTTCAGATGAAAGGCTATATCAAGTATTTTTAGGCCACGGTAAAATGCAAACTTGAAGACACAGGAAGGCGCCCACAAGCCAATATCTGAAGAAAGAAGAGAGTAAGTGAAATGAAGAGAAGAGCAGGAAAACTTTCCATTGCCCCTGAAAATGCAGATTACTGCAGTAGATTACTATCACCGCCTACTTGCTTGTCTGGACACTATCATGATTAACACTTTGTACTCCTGTGGGCCACCACTATCCAAAAATGTTTACTGACAACTCAACAAACAACTTGTGAGCGGTATGCACTGCCAAACACCTTAAGTTCAAGAAGAAATGTTCAGGAGTTGCTTATAAAGACAATCCATACGAACAGTTGAAAACAGCCATTCATTGTGGATATTGTGTGTGTTGTGTTTCAAAAAGGGGTCTACATTCTGCATGGGTCTCAACTCAGAATTTTTAAAAAGGAGGAACTTTCCGGTGATCGCGACAGAAGCCCATTTTCGCGAGACATCCACTATTATTATACTGTTGGACCCAAGAATGTTGAAATAAAAACCATCAATTTATCAAAGCAAGGTTATTTCATACCAGTTTGAGGGTTTGGAAGATAATTTCAAGTAAGAGTCACTTACCAAATATTTCCAATCTTGATTACGTACAGAAAGTGGAGGCGCACTGTGGGCTTGTTCGACTTATTTATATTTTACCTTCATCATATTCGCCTATATAAACTATATAAAAATGAATCTTGTATTGAGCCTGGGAAAAGGCCTAAAACCAGAATATCGACTGTCATGAACCTGTCTGGGTGTAATGATTCATATACATGTAATATATGTGAAAGACAAAATTAATGCTCAAACTCAAAGTAGAGTAATAACTTGAATAGCTCAAGTTTAGTGTGAGGGGTGTAGGAACTGTGGGAGGGCAAGATACAGTGACACTGAAAATCTGCGAATCTCGAACAAAAAGCTAAAATATAGAGACATAATTTACTGTCACCCATCCAATGAAACGAGAACACTTAGGCCCCTGCCCTAAGTTCATTAACACACTTACAAGTAGTAATGACGGATCCTGATTATACAAAGGCATGCACAAACGCGCACTTTACTTTGCAGAGAGCTGTAGTAGTAATCAAAATTCTAAATATTAAA